GTAGGCTCTGTATAAAAATACTTGTCAGACCTACGAGTTGAGGTTGAGATTTTGTGCTGGGTACCCAGGGTACAGCGGTGAACACTACGAGTTCAGACTCCGCTGGAGGGGCTGTACCTCTTAAGTGGAGGCGGACAGTAACAGTTACTTTGTGTTTTCTCTGGAAACAGAGATGGGACGGCCCCTTTAGATGGGAGGGTCAGAGAAAATACCTAGGGTGCTGCTCCCTGTTTGAGCAGAGATTGCCCAGAGGATGCTTTAGGCATTGGGAAGCAACTGAAAGCTCAGGGTGGAGACCCCAGAGGGTCTTTCTTGTGTGCTGGTGATAGAGCGGGTAGAAAGTGATGTCCGAGAAGGACCAGTCGGAGTTTTCTTCTCCCCACCACCTTGATCTCCCATTATGTTCAGCACTTTGGAGACTGAGAGTTTGGATCCAGCTCTCATTCAAACTTAACTGAATCTGTTTAGTTTTAGAAAATATCTGAACTCAGGAACCAAGTAGACTTCCAGAAATTGTGTAAAGCCTGTAAAATACACATACTGTATCAGTTGATAGATACTCCTCTTTTTAAAAATATATATGTAAAATGTGTTTTAAAAAAATATGTATATGTATATAAGCTATATATGTAGTCTTTTAAAAAATATATATGTATACAATATATATGTAATTAAAATATATATATTAAATTTTGTTTTATACTTGGATCTCGTGGTGATAATCATGTCTTACACCTGCTATTAATAACACTTTTAGAGCAATTCTGTGTTAATTTTGGAGTTACATGGAATACGTAAGACCTGCGGGTGTAAATTTTTCCCTTACACTTTATATAAACAGTGGTTTGCAAAGTTGTTCATGGTCATTTGTTATAGGAACTCAGTATTCCAACACCACTCCCACCACCATTACACCTTCTGTCCAATATTGTCTTCAGTTTTCCCAACCACCGATTAAGCCTCCCCTAATAGCAGGCCTTCAATAATTTATTTTATATTGCTTGTCAATAATTTAATAACAGAATGATGAAAAAATGTTTATGTAGAAGAAAGATGAATGGAGACGTTACTGGCACCCGCTCAAGTAAATCGATGAATAACGGGGAATCAAGTGATCAAGTAGAAGAAAGTGAAAGTTATATCTCACCATGGAGTCATATAAGAGATTACTGAGATGTTACAGGTTAAGCCCTCGCTATTAGTGTTTTGGTAATCAAATTGGTTGCCTTCTATTTTACCTCTCTATTTTACAATCTGGTGTGCTACTACCAATTTACTAGTGTGGTTTGAGATGCTGCTCCGGGACGTCAAGCATTTTTAAAGTCGGAATACAGCTGAAATTACATTTTTAACTGGGTCGTGGTGCGACTGCCAGGGCTTCCAGAAGTACAAAGGTGGGGGTAGCCCATCCTGACTCCGTGAAAACCTGGAGATTTCACTCACAAAACCTGCATACCTGAAGTTTTCAGCAGATTAATTTCTGGGTGAGACTCAGCTCAAGGTAGTGGAATCCAGCTGGGGGCATGGCGGCAGTTGTGGAGTTTGGGAGCCTTTGGCTACCCTGACAGATATTCTTTTGATTTCTTCTAAATGGAGTTTCTTGGTCTTTCTAATAGCACACTGATCCTCCAACGCACTTATTACAAGTTTCATGTTTGTATACTTTGATATCTTTCTCTCATAGCAGATGTTAAAGATTTGTAAGAGTTAAACTCAGCACATGATTGCTGAGTGCTTACTGTGTGCTGGTCCTGGGATCAAGTTTTAAATACAGACATGGCATTGGAAAGGAAATTACTTTGTAATCAGGACAGATTGAGATTGTTAACAACTAAAACCGTGGTAATAACACTGATACAAATGCTTATGATGCTGATTTGAGAGAGATTAAAGGGATGCTTTAAAATTTAGTTGATACCTGAGATGATTTGCAGGTCGCTAGACCACCTGCTAAACATGTTTCAGTTACCAGTTACATAGCAAATTGTAGTGTTACGTTGAAGCAGACAATATGTAGAGATTCTTAGGTCATAGTCATCTGGAATTGATTGATTGTGCAGTGGAGACTTATCAGAAGATAGAGAAGTACTCGTCCGTGTGTTTGTGATCAATATACATATGTTTATATGTATTATGAAATTATCGGTGGGTGGTAATGGTGGTGGTGCAGGAGCATCTTCTACATCCCCTACAGTTCTTGGGGGCTTCCTTTTTTTTTTTTTGCTTTTTGGGGTCTCACCTGATGATGCACAAGGGTTACTCCTGGCTCATGCACTCAGGAATTACTCCTGGCAGTGCTCAGGGGACCATATGGGATGCTGGGAATCGAACCCATGTCGGCTGTGTGCAAGGCAAACACCCTACCTGCTGTACTATTACTCCAGCCCCATTGGGGGCTTCCTTGACTACCTCTGGATCTTTCAGTCCCAGGAATGGAACCCAGGACCTCTTACACGAAAGGCATATATGCTAAGAATTTGAACCACATCCCTACACATCTTACATCTTATATTGGAAAATAGTGTTGCCACTCTGTGGGAGATGGAGAGTAAGGGGAAAGGTAGCAGCAGAGCCTATGGTAAAGTAGTGATTTGGGAGAAAGATGAAGTTGGCATTTTAGGGAAGAGGTTGGCAAACTGAAGCTATAAGGTCATATCGCTTGTTTTTGAAGGTCCTGTTAGAACATGGCCATGTCCACTTTTTTGGATTTGTGTTACAAGTCCTAGAGCAGCATAGGGCCAAAATCTGATGTTGCAAAAAATTTGTCAATAGTTGTATTAGAGAGATGAGAGCATGGAAGAAAGTGATATATTTTTTGATGCAAAACAATTAGGGCATTAGGATGTAGAGGGTAGTATAAAGAGGAGTTAGTTTTCTATCTTAGAAAGTTAGAAGAAGTTCAGAAAGGCTAGTTTGAACAAGGATTAATCACTATCACTTTTACAGTTGATTTCTTCATTTTTGTATCCATTGTATGGCACAGAACTGGTAAATAATTGAAATTAAGTCATGCATTGAATTATAAATAAATTCTTTAAAAATTAGGAGATACTTGCTGAGTAGTAAGTCACATGATAGAGAAAAGCACATTAAGAATTTCTAATAGTGGATGCCAGAGCAGTAGTACAGCAGGTAGGGTTCATACTTTGCATGGGACCAGCCGGGGTTTGATCTGCAGCTTCCCATGTGGTTTCCCCAGCACTGCCAGGAGTAATTCCTGAGTGCAGAGCCAGGAGTAACTCGAGAGTATTGCCTAGTGTGCTCCCCACCCCCAGTTTTCTAATAGTAGTTAATTTAGGTTTTATGTCAGATAGTATTAGTAGGAAACTAGAGGCCAATGACTTACCCGTTCCTCCTGTATAGTGGATCAAGGACTTAGTTGCATATTTAAATTATTTTAGAATATTATAATTCTGAAGAGCTTGAATCCAAAGAGCATATGGGCTGGAGTAAAGGCTCTCCTGTTGATCGTCGATTTGCTCGAGCGGGCCCAGTAACGTCTCCATTGGAGACTTTGTGGTTACTGTGTCTGGCATATCGAATACTCTCGGTAGCTTGCCGGGCTCTCCGAGATGGGCGGAGGAATCGAACTCGGGTCGGCCATGTTGGCTGCGTGCAAGGCAGACGCCCTACCCGCTGTGCTGAGCAGAGGCAATAAAACAGATTTTTCTCTGTGTACTTCTAATGTTAGTTATAATAATCTTACCAAAGTTAGTGGGAATAATGGTTTTACATTTTGAACAATTGATGAGAAATAGTACAGTGAATTTTTATAACATTCAAAAACCTAAGTTGAAATCATCTGGAGGATCCTAACAAACAAACATTGGCTATTTGACCTCAGTGAGAAATGAATGAGAATATAATTACTAGTATTCTTACAACTATAGACATACCATGTAGCATAACATTGGTTTGTTCTTCCTCCCTGGCTGCTGGAAGCTTGTGTTTGTTGATTGCCCCCCAACCTGTCAGTTACCTTTGTCTCCTGATCAGACTCAGACTTGTAAATATTGTCTTTCTGTTCTCCTAACTGCGCTTGGCTTGGTTAACTACTTCAGAGCAATAGCTTTTGTTTGGATATAGGAAGACAGTTGAAAAGACAAGCCTGTGGCTTGGGAGTTGATTGACTCCAGGTAATAAAACTCCTGGACATCTGCTCTCTCGACTTAAGCCTCATTTGCCCGCCCTTCCTAGATTCCCCTAAAGCAGGGTCCCGACTGGATGGACCCAGGGCAAACTGTGAGCTATGAACTACCCTGGCATCGAAATGGGCCTGGCCAAAGTGCCACAATGCTTATTTGTAAGTTAAGAGCTTGGTCATAGACAAATTCTGTCATGATCCAAAAAGTAATAACTAGATTTGGACCCTGCTGGGGTTAGGAATGATTGATACGGCCTGAGCACTGTAGTCTGAGTCTGTGGTGAGATGTCCCCAGGAGAGTCACCCTACAAGCATTAAAGTGTCTTTACTGTGTCTATACAGAATGATAAATATTACGAAGTAGAATTAAAGATGTTAATTAAGTTGCTGGTCTAAGGAGAGGAGAAACACACCTTAAAGGATCTTTTGCCCTCATGGGCTGTAGGTGGTTGGGAAGACTGGAAAAACAGTTTGATTGAGCTTCCTGTGGGGAGGAGTGATAGTACAGCCGGGTGTAGGGCATTTGCCTTGCACGCGGCCGACCCAGGTTCAATTCCGAGCTCCCATATAGTCGCCCAAGCACCGCCAGGAGTAATTCCTGAGTGTGTGAACTAGGTGTAACCCCTGTTGCATCACCGGGTATGACCCAAAAAGCAAAAATACAAAAAAAAAAAAAAACAACAAAAAAAACGGGGGGGGGGGGTAGCAAAAGAGTGGATTGAAGGAGACAGAGTTTGAGACAGAGACGGTAACAGAGGGACACAGAGGGACAAGGAGATTGGAGAGGAGTCATGGAGAGTGTTGTAGACCGAGTTAGAGAGTTGGAGAGAGCTGGGAGTGACGAGAGATTGAATAAATGGCAGCTAATCGGCAACTGGCTTGGCCCTCGTTCTTCCTTCGTCCATCCAAGGCAACAGCTGTCCTGGGTAAGGAAGCAGCTCGAGAGCACCAAACATGGGTGGCAAAAGAGAGCCGCCCAGAGAGCCAGTGAACATTCTTTAATGTGTAATCCCCGAGTGAAGTAGTTTACACAGCTCCGCACCAGAGGGGGATTTCACAATATCCGTCTGGGATTTTCTTTTAATAAGGAATTTTATTTGTAAAGTGAATGAATTTCTTACATTTGGTACCTTAAACTGCACCAAAACTCCCGGAGACTTCTCTTTCTTTATTCATAGTAGTTCATTTTTCTGAACAGAAAATGAAAGCTGTCATTGCTTTAATTTGTATAAAATAAGCAATTTGAGCACAAAATAATTCCACAAAGATAAAAGAATAATACAAATCTTAACAGAAAGATCTTGTAATTCAACTTTCTAGAATCTCAGTTTATAAAACCTAGAAGGGAATAAATGTGACCAAGTTGGCACACATCTTTATATTTGAAGTGGAGGTTCTCTTCGTTAGTTGTATACAAATTAAAGTAGTAGTTTTGAAGGTGAGAAAAAACTCTGGATAAAGGAAATAAAATGATTGAATGACAAAAAAAATACTCCTTTCTATAGTATTTTAACATACTGATTACCAATTCCTATTTTTATTACTCTACCACAGCTTGAGTGATACATTTTATGTTTACTAATTGTCAGTGGTATTTATTTATTTATTTTTTATGTAGAAATACTGCTATTTATTCAGCCACTGATTAGCTGATTGAATTGTGCATGAACTCCACCTTACTTTTTTAATTTTTTATAATTTTATTTATTGAGTCACCGTGAGAGCAGTTACAAAGCTTTCAGGTCTAAGTCTTGGTCATACAATGAAACACCCGTACCTTCACCAGTGCCCATTCTCCACCCCCAATAACCCCAGTATACCCCCATTCCACACCCTCCCTCTACCTGTGGGGCAGATGATTTCCACATTAGTCTCTCTACTTTGATCACATTCAATATTTTGACACCAGACTCACCATTATTATTTGAGATTTAATCCCAACACTCAGATCTGCTGAAAAGGCAACAGTAGACAATTTGTTTCTATTGCTGGTTATGAATAACATGATGGCATGTGACTGCAGTAGTGGCCACGCAATTTTGAAATTCCGAAATTTTAACACTTAAATCTGGAGGGATTTCTTCCAAGACCTCCTGGGATCCGAGATTTGCTCCCGAGTCTCTGGGATCATGGCCGTTAAGCAGCTTGATCAGGAGCCAGAAAGTCCGTTTGTGGGTGATGACTTGCGGTCTCATTGGGACGGGGAGGACAGAACTAGCTCCACCCTCATCCCGTGAGGCCCAATAAATTTTGTCACTGCAGGCCCAAGCCTGACTGTCCAATGGCCTCTGGAGGATGGTGGCCACCAAGTCACCAAGGGGGAGCAGGCAGAGGGACAGCACCCTTTCCTCCCTGGGGTGACCCAGCGACAGTAACCTACTGCTGGGTCCAGACACATTTCTGCAAAAGCCACTGGGTTTCGAGATTTGCTTCTGAGTCTCTGCGATCATGGCCATTAAGCAGCTTGATTAGGAGCAAGAGAGGCCGTTCATGGGCGATGACTTGGGGTCTCATTGGGGTGGGGAGGACAGGACCGGCTCCACCCCCATCCTATGAGGCTCCAAATGTCTTGTCACTGCGGGCCCAAACCTGACTGTCCAGTGGCCTCTGGAGGATGATGGCCACCAAGCTACCAGGGAGAAGCAGGCAGAGGGACAACACCCTTTCCCCCCTGGGGTGGCCCGCCGACAGTAACCTACTACGTGGTATGGATGCATTTCTGCCAAAAGCCGCTAGGTTTCGAGATTTGTTTCTAAGTGTCTGGGATCATAGCCGTTAAACAGCTTGATCAGGAGCCAGAGAGGCCATTTGTGGGTGATGACTTGGGATCTCATTGGGACGGGGAGGACAGGACTGGCTCCATCCCCATCCCATGAGGCCCAACAAGTTTCGTCACTTCGGGCCCAAGCCTCACTGTCCAATGGTCTCTGGAGGATGATGGCCACCAAGACGCCAAGGGGGAGCAGGCGGAGTAACAACACCCTTTCCCCCCTGGGGTGGCCTGGTGACAATAACCTACTGTGGGGTCCGGATGCATTTCTGCCAAAAGCCACTGAGTTTCGAGATTTGTTTCTGAGTCTCTGGGATCATTGCCGTTAAGCAGCTTGATCAGGAGCCAGAAAGGCCGTTTGTGGGCGATGACTTGGGGTCTCATTGGGGTGGGGAGGACAGGACCAGCTCCACCTCCATCCCGTGAGGTCCCACGTGTCTCGTCACTGTCGACTCAAACCTGACTGTCCAGTGACCTCTGGAGGATGGCGGCCACCGGGCTGCCAGGGGGAACAGGCCTATTCCCGCAACAGGCCTATTCCCACCTGGGTTGACCCAGCACCGGGAACCTACTGCAGGGACTGGACGCATTTCTGCCAAAAGCCACTGGGTTTTGAGATTTGTTTCTGAGTGTCTGGGATCATGGCCATTAAGCAGTTCAATCAGGAACCAGAGAGGCCATGCCTCCAATTATATTACTGAGCTGGAGGTGTTTCCCACATACCTAACTTTTGGCCGTTTACTTTCTTGGTAAACTTTGCCCCAAGTTTTTGGGGTCTGGCCAAAGGCACAGCAGCAGTTTTGGGGTATCTGGAAGTCTGAAGGTGCCATCAGGCTGCTGATGCACTCGCCTCACAGGTACAGATTGACCTGCTGGCCGCACCATACCTCTGTCAGTGGTATTTAATCATTAATATCAACCCTAGCTGTACACCAGTTCATCTTTTGTATTCCAATAACAACTAAACAAAATTATAAAATCAAATGCCCTTGGCACATATTCAGGAATTGGAGTCAACCTAGGTCTGATCTAAACAAATATGGAGATTATGATATACAGCCAGGGTGAGAACCTTGGCAATAAATTATGTACCGTTATATTACTGTAGGGGACTATCTTATGCTATGTTTTGGGAAGTGTACAGTTATTTGGGAAGAACATTTATATGAGATAATTTTTATGTGAATCCCCCCCCCTCCAGGAGAGAATTGAGGCATGCTATTTTGTAAGGTGAATTTAGTTTTTTTCTCTATTATCACAGGTATATGGTATCCAGGAGAACGATGTCTTGCGCCTTCGCCAGATAATGAAAAACTTTGTGAAGCAATCATAAAGTCTGTCACAGTGGATAAACATGGGAATCCACTTGCAGTCATCTTGTATTCAGATTTTCAAGAGAGAGAAGTACCTCTTAAAAGACTTCAAGAAACAAAACCTGTTAAAGACTGCTCCAGGAATTTCATATTTGATGATGAAGATTTGGAGAAACCTTATTTCCCAGATCAGATATTTCCTTCATCTGCTGTTGCCTTTCAATTATCAGAAGGTGGAGACTCTATCCCTTTTACTATTAACAGGTATCTGAGAGATTACCAAAGGGAAGGGGCCCAGTTTCTTTATGGACACTTCATCCAAGGAAGAGGATGTATTCTTGGTGATGACATGGGCCTGGGAAAAACAGTACAGGTATTGTTCTAATTACTTTATAATTAAATTTTAGTATTGTTGTTTTAGAATACATAGTCATCTTTATTATAATATTTTTTATCAGAATCATTTATAGACTGTCTTTGAAGGTTTGATAGAAGCCATTTGGGCTTAGAATGTTGTTTCAGGGGACAATTTTAATTATTTGTTTTCTTGCTTGTGTTTGGTCTCTTAGGATTTTCTGTTTACTCCTGATTATGTTTTGGGAGATTGTTTTATTTTAAAACTTTATCTGTTTCTTGTAGTGTCTCCAGTTTGATGTTCATAGAAATTTTTCTAACTCCTTCCTTTTCATTTCTGATATTCTTACAAGGGATTTTCTTTGTCAGTTTTGTTTTTCTTTTTCAGGCACCAGCTCTAGATGTCAATGAAATATTGTCTTTTATGATTTCTATTTATTTTATATCCTTTTGACAACTGACTTTAAGTTTTGTTCTTTTTATACATTCTTAAAGGTAAAGGTAAGGTAAAGGTCCTCCCGTTGATCGTCGATTTGCTCAAGCGGGCCCAGTAACATCTCCATTGGAGACTTTGTTGTTACTGTGTCTGGCATATCGAATAATCTCGGTAGCTTGCCGGGCTCTCCGAGAGGGGCGGAGGAATTGAACTCGGGTTGGCCATGTTGGCCGCTTGTAAGGCGAACGCCCTACCCGCTGTGCTATCGTTGGGATTAGTGTTGAAAATTTTCTTGTTTCTGGATATAATCCAATATTGCTGTGAAGTTCCTTCTCAATACTTCTTTTGCTGTGTTTCATATTTTCTGATAACTCATCTTTTATTTGCTGAAAATTTAAAACTTTGTTTTATTTTTTATAAAGTTGTTCACAGTTATTTGTTACATTTAATATTCCAACAACAATCCCACTGCCATTACATCTATACACCACCATATTTTAAATGTTTCTACCCCAACCCTCAACTTCTACCCCCAAAGCACAACCTAAATTTATTTTGTATTGCTTTTTATGAATAATCCACTAAAAATAGTCCAAAAAAATTTCTTAGAGGAAAGTATGTGAAGATTGTTGTATTTCATCCTGGAGACTTTAAGCCCTTATATAAGAATGAGATGTCATATGGCCACGTATGTGGCCACAAACTCCAGGAATTTTAAAATTTTAAATATGGTTATAAAACTGTGTTGATTTATTTTTTTTTAACTTGATGGTGACTTTGGGGTCCAGAGGCATCTCTATGGCGTATTGTTCTGTGTTGCTCTCTTCTGAAGAGATTTCTTTGTGAATGTCTGGATCTTGGCCGTTAATGAGATTACAAAGGGCCAGAGGCAGTTCCTGGGCATGACTGCCAGGCTACTGGAAACACAGGGAGATGGGTGGGGGGTGGGGGTCGCTATTCCTGACTCTGTGCAAGCCTGGATATTTCATACACCATTTTGGCATACCTGGGTTTTTCAGTGCTGCCATGTCAGTGAAGCCTTCAGGGTCAGCTGAATGAGACCCATTGTAGTTACTGGTTTTGGCATATCGAATACACAATGGATAGCTTGCCAGGCTCTTCCATGTGGGCGGAATACTCTCCGTAGCATGCCAGTCTTTCCGAGAGGGATAGAGGCTTTTGGGGCAACCTCTAATCGCCCTCATAGGTGTTACCATATTTGAACCCTATCAAATATGGTACGGCAATTCCGGAAGATGGGAATTTAGTGTCTTATGATGTGGCAAAATGGCCGCTTTGCGGCCGCGCGGGTCTGGAAAGCGTCCTGGAGTGTGGTGGTGGCTGGGTAGCGGAGGTAGTGTCAGTAGTGGAGGTCTACCAGTGGGGTCTTTATCTGGTCCCAGTAGGGGTAGGGTGGGTCTTCTGTGTGCAATCTGATCCCTGGGTCTCTGGTGGTTGGTGGAAGCAGAGAGGGCAGGGTAGGGTGGGGCTCCTGATTAGAATCCCTTTTTCACCTGTGATTGGTGGGAGCAAGCAGAGAATCTCTGTCCCTGGGTCCGTTGAGCCTGGAGTCCAAGGTCTCAGAGAGTTTCGCTTATCTTGTTCTGTGGGTCTTCAGTCGTGCATGAGTCTCGGCCGGAGCTGCCACGCGGGTCTGGAAAGCGTTCTAGAGTCTGGCAGCGGCTAGGTAGTGGAGGTAGTGTCAGCCTGCTGTCAGTACTCATCAATACACTGGCTCGGCTCTTCACACGCTACCTGTCTGAATGCAAAGTTCCATCCCAATGGAAAACCAGCAGGACCGTACTACTGTTCAAGAAGGGAGACGTCCATGACCTTGGCAACTATTGCCCAATCTGCCTATTGTCTGTCATCTACAAGTTACTCTCTCAAGTCATCCTAAATAGGATTGGCAGAACACTAGATGAAGGACAACCATGCGAGCAAGCAGGGTTCCGCAAAGGATTCAGCACCATCGACCATATCCACACGATAACTAAGCTCATTGAGGTTTCTCGGGAGTTCAAGATGCCGCTCTGTTTAACATTCATTGATTTAAAGAAGGCCTTTGATTCTGTTGAGACGGAAGCGGTCATTGAAGCCCTAGCCAATCAGGGCATTCAAGCCCAATACATCAAGATCCTCCGTGAGCTGTATTGCGGATTCACTACCAGGATCTCACCATTCTACAAAGAAGTAATCATTGATGTCAAGAGAGGGGTTCGGCAGGGTGATACCATTTCACCGAAACTCTTCAGTGCCACCCTCAAGAACATCATGCGACGACTGGAATGGGAAGGAATGGGAATGAAGATAGATGGTCGGCAACTACACCACCTCCGCTTTGCTGATAACATTGTTCTAATAACACCAAACATTAGTAAAGCAGCACAAATGCTGGCCGACTTTGACCGTGAGTGTGGAAAGGTAGGACTACAGCTGAATCTTACGAAGACAATGTTTATGAGAAACAGCCTCATTCCTGATGCCCCATTTGCTCTCAACGGAACAACCATCTCCAAATGCAACAGCTATGTGTACCTAGGTCGAGAAGTCAACATGACAAATGACCTGGCACCTGAGCTTTGCAGGAGGAAGAGAGTGGCTTGGAACGCCTTCAAGAACGTCGAAGAAATAGCTAAGAGGACGAAGAACCTTCAGCTCCGGGCACATCTCTTTGATTCCACTGTTCTTCCTGCATTAACATATGCCTCCGAGACCTGGGCCCTACGCAAACAGGATGAGAACGCTATTCAGGTCTCCCAAAGAGGAATTGAAAGAGCTATGCTTGGAATATCACGTTTTACTCAAATGAGAGAAAGAATCCAGAGTTCCGACATCTGTCGACGATCAAGAATCAGGGACGCTGTCTCATTTGCCAAGGTGTCAAAAATCAGATGGGCTGGTCAGATAATGAGATTTAAAGACGACCGCTGGACTAGAGCTGTTACCGACTGGATTCCACAGAATGTCAAAAGTCTGTGTGGCCGCCCACCTACCAGATGGTCAGACTTCTTCATCAAGATCATGAACAATCAGTTTGAGGCTCTTCATGTTCCCAGAGCGAACAGATGCCATTGGGCTACACTAGCATGCGACAGGGACAAATGGAGACGTTACTGGCGCCTGCTCGAGCAAATCGAGACTAATGGGAAGATAAGTGATTAAGTGATTAAGTGGGTTTTCCAGCAAATTCACTCAAGGGTGAGGCTTGTCCAAGCCTTTAAAATTTTCTTTTTGATTTCCTCTATGACCCAATAATGATTTAGTAGCATGTTGTTTAGTCTCCAAATGTTAGACTTTTCTTTCCAGTTTATCTTCATGGTTGATTTTTATTTCTCTTCATTGTGATCCAAAACAGATACTTATGTGATTTTAGTTTTCATTACTTTATTGAGAGAGTGAAGAGCCTGTAAATGTCAATTAAGACTACTTGGTCAAAATTCTATATTGAGAGGTGTTTCCTTATTAATATCCTGTTTTTTTAACCTCCCCATCTGAGAGTGAGATGTTAATGGTTGTTCCATAGACGTGTAAATTATTTTTTTTCAGTCTTCATTTTAGGGACTGGAGAGATAGTATAGTGGGTAGACCACTTGTCTTCTTACTCTGGCATTCCATGCGGTCCCAGAGCATAAAGCCAGGAGTAAACCTTGAGCACCGCCAGTATGGACCCCTCCACATTCCTCCAAATACAACAAACACGTCTAATTTTAGCATTTGTGTATGTGATTGTGTAATTTTGTGATTATATTTTTTGCTCCACCCAGATCCCCCATCTTCCAGTAGCTAGGTGTCATACCCACCAACTGGGTATAAAACTCAGCTCCTGGAAGAGAACAGTGAAGAGTCTCCTGCCCCCGCCCCTGGCTGTCCTCGCCGGGCCCCCTTGGAGGGGAGTGGGTCAAGTTTCCCTCCCTGCCCCGACCAGGGCTTCAGCAGCCGAAGACCTCCAGAACCAGCCACCACCATGCTGAGACCACTCTCCACACGCATGACGGTACCAGCAGAGGAACAAAGGCAAGCGGGTCCCAGGGCTGAGATCTCCAAGCCTGCTTGGATCAGGGCTGAGCATCCTCCACTCAGATCCTCCATATTCCAGTAGGCAGGGGTCACACCCACCAACTGGCTCCCTGGTGCTGTGTAATCCCATTAACGGCCAAGACCCAGAGACTATAAAACCCAGCTCCGGAAGCGCGCGGCTACATTTATGATTTCATTCCTACTTTGGACAAAGTGGCAGGCTACCGAATGTAACCTGCCCACACGGCAGAGTCTGGCAAACTCCTTGTGGCGTACCCAATATGCCAAATACCAGTAACAATGATGGGTCTCATTCTCCTAACCCCGAAAGAGCCTTGAATATGGCACTTTTTAAATCTCAGGGCTAGGACGAAGGAGATGTTACTGGGGCCTGCTCGAGGCAATTGACAAACAGGATGGTCGTGATCATGATCATGATATATTTTGCTCCACCCAGATCCCCCATCTTCTAGTAGCTAGGTGTCATACCCACCAACTGCCCCAGGACGCCACGTAATCCCATCAATAGTCAAGACCCAGAGACTATAAAACCAAGCTCCTGG